TATTTATAATAATATTCACCTTGATAAGGGAAGCAGAAGTAGTAAAGGTAAAGGTGCTCTGGAAAAGCAAAAAGTACCATATACACATTTTTTTTTTCTGCCTTCTTTTCAATGTCCTTTCTAAGATTTTGGGAACCATTGTACTATGGTGGAAAAACACCATGAGCTTCAAGCCCTTAGACCTGGGCTAAGTCCTTGCTATGCCCCTGACTAGTTAGGATGGAAGATCCTGTCCGACCCTTCAGGGGTGGTCACATTTGGCAATGTACCACCAGAGCTAAGACAGCGAATAATAAATGTTATTATTCACATTTTATAGCAAGGACATTGAGGCTTAAGAGGCTAGGCCACTCCAAGTAGCTAGGCTTACTCCAAATATGGATCTAGTTAAGAATTTATGTGCAAAAGTCTTCGTGTTTCCCTCAGCAAAGCCCTTTATCAATTATCCTATGCAAATACAGAGCCTAGCTTCAATCAGTCTTAAGCAGCCTATTATTCCAACTTTTGTAGGACAGAACAATACAGAATTCCTTGTTAACAATCCAGCTTGTTGCATAATGATGACATCTGACTACACCCACAGGGCATTCTAGTGTCTAGCATTGCTGGAGGACACACACCTAATATAAGTACCTGACATGAAGCTTTTGATTGCCAACCCTTCCATTTCAAATACATCCATCTTAAATAAACAAATTGCCAGCTGTATGACACAGCTACTAGCTAAACAACTAGGAACCAGGGCAACCCACCTGTGAAGTTCCCCTTTTTAAAAGCCCTGGGCAACCAGGGGAACTGATGGCTTGACTGACCCTGCTTTTCCCCTCCCGCACCTGAATTTCCACATTTAAGTTTTAAAGATTTTATTAATTTATTTGTGAGAGAGAGAGCACAAGCAGGGGGAGTGGCAGCCAGAGGGAGAAGCAGGCTCCCCGCTGAGCAAGGAGCTCGAAGTGAGACTTGATCCCAGGACTCTGGGATCAGGACCTGAGCCAAAGGCAGACGTCTTATAAAACTCAACACCCCAAAAACCAGATAATCCAATTATAAAATGGGCAGAAGACATGAAGAGGCATTTCTCCAAAGAAGACATACAGATAGCTAACAGACACATGAAAAGATGCTCATCGTCACTTATCATCAGGGAAATGCAAATCAAAATTACAATGAGATACCACCTCACTTCTGTCACAATGGCTAAAATCAAAAACACAAGAAATGACAAGTGTTGGTGAGGATGTGAAGAAAAAGGAATCCTCTTGCACTACTGGTGGGAATGTAAACTGGTACAGACACTGTGGAAAACAGTGTGGAGGTCTCTCAAAAAATTAAAAATAGAACTACCCTATGATCCAGTAATCACACTACTGGGTATTTACCCAAAGAATACAAAAACACTAATTCAAAGGGACACATGTACTACTATGTTTACTGCAGCATTATTTATAACAGGTAAACTATGGAAGCAGCCCAAACATCCACTGACTGATGAATGGATAAAGATGTGGTATACATATATAATGGAATATTATTCAACCATTAAAAATGAAATCTGGCCATTTTCAACAACATGGACAGAGTTAGAGAGTACCACGCTAAGTGAAATCAGTCAGAAAAAGACAAATACCATATGATCTCACTCATATGTAGAATTTAGAAACAAACGAGTGAAGGAAAGAAAAAAAGACAAACCAAGAAACAGACTCTTAACTATAGAGAAATGATGGTTACCAGAGGGGAGGTAGGTGGAGTAATGGGTGAAATAGAGGATGAGGATTAAAGAATACACTTATCATGCTGAAAAGATTAAAATGATTTAAAACAAGAATTACAAAAAAAAAAAGATGACGACTAAGATGGAGAAAGATATTACACAGTTGAACCTTGAGTAATGCAGGGGTTAGGGGTTATGAACCAACCCCTGATGAAGTTGAAAATCCATGTATAACTTTTGACTCTCCAAAAACTTTACTAATAGCCTACTATGGGAAACCTTACTGGTAACATAAAACAGTTGATTAACACATATTTTGTATGTTATATGTATTATATACTGTATTATTACAATAAACTAGAAAAAAGAAAATGTTAAGAAAATCATAAGAGAAAATACATTTATACTATTGTACTGTAAAAAAAAATCCATGTACAAATGAACCCACAGTTCAAACCTGTGTTGTTCAAAGGTCAACTGAAAATGATCTTGTTGTATCTCAGGTAGATCTTACACACTATATTTAATAATCTGTTATCAAAATGTAACATTTCCCTACTCCTTGTTCCACTGAGTAGGAAACAGTTTATCATCGTAAAAAAATTTTCCTCAGTTGATTGTTTAGCATTTCATTTCCTGATTTTAGCATTTGTTCTCTATTTGCTCTTGTTCCTTTTGTGAACTTGTGGTGTTTAACAAGATGTCTACTTTAATGAAAGCCTTTCCAGTCAGTTGAAGCAAAGTCCAGATATTTTAGCAGGCTTGTTGTGAATAGGAGAAAGATGTGAGCTTTCCTTTTTCTTTGCTCTTTTATCAATTGCCAAAGGACTCTTCCTTCTTTTTTGCACATTTTCTCCTCTGGAATATATGTCCCTTTAAATTGCACGGCCAACACTTTAAATAGCACCTACTTTGAAGTCACTTTCCTGCAGCCCTGCTCTGATCTACTCAGTTGTTGTTACTGTTGTATTGCAGTTTTAAACTCTCTGCTGCTTCAGCTAACCTCTTTGCTGGCATCATTTCTGGCTCTGCCTTTGCTTGCCACAGAGCCTTCTAGCAGTGAAGGAGTAGGGCAAGGACAGTGCTAGGATTTGTAGTTTTTTCTCTTTTTACTCATAGTTATTTTGCACTTTTGGCATTCTCTGTATTTTAAGTAGTATTGGGCTTGGTTTTCAATAGAATTGTCATAGTTATGGAGTTATTTCACGCATCATTTAGAGAGAAGATTTTGGTATGGTTATTCGCTTACTACACACCCACCACTGACCTCAGCCACCTTGTTTTTAAAAATCCTCTCTTTATATATATTTTCAAAACAAAAAACAAATGTGAAAAAATAAAAAATATAATTGATTTTTGGCTTGTTATTAACTTGAAATTATGAGGTTTTGATTAAATTTATAAATAGTATTAGAATGTTTACAGGAGGCCAGCTTCACTATAAACTTAACTATCAGAGCTAATTCCTTAGGTAGGTTTTGCCTTGCGTTACCAGTTTGCCAGATATCTGAAATGCTTAATAATAGAATATATTAAATGTATGAATGATATTTAAAATATTTAGTTATTTATTTAGGTCTTTAAATTGAAATGACAGCTTAAGGGAAATATGGTTGGCCACTCTTAAGTAGATTAAACATTAATCAAAAGAATATCTCTTTTAATGAGGAGATAGGATATGGTTGGTCTTGATGATTAGATCTCTCCTTGCCCAACCCTATAACTTCATTTCTAAAGCTTATCATTTCTCCCGAACATATAATGGTGTTTCATCCTCATTTGCTGCAGCATTTACTGTAGACACTGGGGAATACTAAGGGAGAACAACACAGAGTTCCTAAACTCATGTACTTCTATTACAGAAGAGACAGGCAAATTAAAAAAAAGCAACCAAATAAGTAATTCCAAGGAGTGATAAAGCTATAAGGATTAAAAAACATATAAAGGATAAGGGAAGATAATGATAGAGAAGGGTGTTACTAGAAGTATAGTCAGGTAAGGCTTCTCTGAGGTAATGATACTTAATCAGAGATTTGAATGAAGTGAGGGAAAGATAACTCCAGACTTTTTCCCCCTAGTCTAGGAAGGGCCTTGAAGCAGGAACAAGCTTGGTGAGTTTATGGTACAAGGAGGCCGTGGCCAAAAAAAAAAAGGGTAAAAATAGGTCAGAAAGACAGATGAGGGCAGATCATAAGATTTAAGGGTCACGGTACAGAATTTGGATTTTATTATAAATGTGATAGGAAGGCATCAAAGCATGCCACCCAGCCTACTTAGGCTACTTTTTTTCTTCCTTGGTTATCTGGCTAACTTCAATTTGTCTTTCAAAATCTAGCATCATCTCCTGTAGGACATACACCTTAACTCCCTGACTCCCCAGAGAAGGTCAATCACTTCCTCCTGTGTGCTATTTCAGAGCTATAATAGAGGACTACTGGTCGCCTTTCGCACTTCTGGAAGGACCTAGGCTGTTGATTTTTTCACAGAACTCTGTTTTGGTTCCCCACCCCATCTCTGTAGCCCCCGAGTGTGATACAGCAGCGGGTGCTAAGTAAAGGTTCTGTAAAGGAAAAACCCATTCATTGGCGCAAGCCTCGACTCCTTCCAACCACTTAGGGTGCGGTACCCAGAGGCGCGTGAGAACTGTTGCCCTGGGAGGCTGCGTGCAGCGTTCCCCTGCTCTCTGCTACCCCAGGAAGGGTTGCGTTTCAAGGATACTCCACTGGCCAAGAATGCCTCTCGGGAAACCCAATGTCCCCACTGTCAGCTGCCTGCTGTCTCCCTTTTGCGCACCTTTGCGTCTTTCCTGGGGCCTGGAGTGGGACTGGGTTGGGGTGGGGGGACTTTGCGCTTCCCAGCTCGGCGTCCGAACACTCCCCGCAAACGCTCCCCTGGCCTAGTCACGCACCCGGCTGCCCTCTCCTCCTAAACAACGGAAGTCACCGCAGCGATGCCCACTGGCACACAGGGCCCGCGTCGCCCCACCTTGCTTCTAGTGTACATCCCCTCATTCCGCCGTCGCCTCGTACGGCTCCCCGCGCCCCTCACCTAGGATGCGGGTGATCCCCAGGGTCAGCTTCTCCAGGTGCGGCTTACTGCAGCCCGGGGGCGGCGTCTCCTCCATGACTCGCGTCCCCGCTCCGCGCGCGGCGGGGGCAGCGGCGGGGACGGAGCGGGAGAGCGGGGCGGGTTGGAGGGCTGGACACCGCCCCAGAGGCTCGGCCATCAATTTCACGGCATGCCGGGAGTTGTAGTGCTTGGCGCCTGAGAGCGCTGCGGGGCGGAGATGGAAGGCCTGGGCTGCTCTGGGAGTAGTAGTTCCGCGGCACACTTGTTCCCGTTGCCTCGGCGGTCGCTCCACGCCACGAAGCCGAGACACAGCGGCTCCTCCACGGGGACACTAACGGCCCGCCGGAGCCGGCCGCGCAAACGGGGGCGGGCCTCTGCGCGGTGCGGCCAATGGGGACTGGGCCTGAAGGCCGGGGCGGGGCGGCCGCGGCGCGACGCCCGGAGTGGCGGTTGTTTCAAGATGGCGGACGTGGCGAGCCCCTCCCGCCGGGGTGCGGCGGCGTTCTGGAGCCGGGACTGTATCCTTTGCCCGCCTGGCAGGGGGCGCCGGCGCCCTCCCGGGTGCGGCGACCGGCGAGCGGTCGCGTGGGACTCTGAGTGGAGGGGCGAAGCTCGATGCTGTCCCCGGGGGCGGGGCCGTCCTTTCCAGCCGCCGTGTAGGTGCCGGGCTTTCCCCTGGCTGGGGTGTTAGGTAGCAGAGAGCCTGATACTGTCACCAGGCTGGAGCACTAGGTGTGGGGAATCAGCACTGATGTTTCCCAGCCCTCCTTGGCGGTGAGCTTTGTAAAGATGGCCTAGAATCGTGGCCCTGCGGGGGGCTGGGAGGGTCCCTCTGACCGTGGTCACCTCGGTCCGGCTGAGCCTCTGCGGAGGGAATGGTGCTGGCTGGACAGGGAGCCTTTTTGTCTTGGTTTAGGACTGTCCTTGGTCTGCGTTGTTGGGAGCAAGAAGGGCCCTTTTCTATCTTCGAAGGCCTGTCAGTGATGATTTACTTTCATGCTGCGATTTTCGGAGAGGTGTGGGGCTGAACGGGGTCTGGTGATGCTGGTTACGGAATAAAAAGCGTTGCAAATCATTGCTGCTAGAAGTAGTGTTGATTTACATGCGGGTTTTGGGTCACCACCGGCAGGATTGAAGTTCTTGGATTGTTTTGGGCGTGGAGAAGCTGTGGAGCTTTTACCGTTGTGGTGGTGTTCCCGGTTCAATAACTGTGTTGAGAAGTGTGACAGAACTGGTTCGTTCTTTGGTTTAGGTTGACTGTCCCAGCCCGATCTTTTCCTGGTAAGTTACATCACTTTCCTTAGAGGAGTGTTACAGGAAAGGAGGGCAATCCGTGTATTGGGTGCCTGCAGAGCAAGTTTTTTTGTCTGTTTGCTAGGATTCCTGATAGCATTATTTGAGGCATTGCTGTTAACTTTGGCAGAATCATTCTCTGCACGTTCTGCTTAGCTCCCAGTGAAACTTACTAAATTATATTATCAGTTTTCCTTATAGAGTTACAGTACTGGGATTACAGTGTCATGTGGAGGGAGGGATATTTTTGCATTCTTTGCTGCTCAATGTTTAGTGTTAGGCACTTTCTAAACATAATTACCATTTATCTCTGATAGGTGGGTGACAATCAAGTAAAATCATGCACATACACTGTGGATGAAAGCACACTAATGCACTGTGCACATTAAATATTTTTTTCCTTATATATCAGGAAGGACGTAAAGAGAATATGTGCATTGGGAACTGGGCTGAATTAGGAAGTCAGGAAATTGGGATGAGTCGTCTCATAAAACCCTGTGCTTGCAGTGATAGAATTTTGTGATAGAGGAGATATTTGAAGGTTATCAGCTTATAAAATGCTTTGTTAGTGTTATCATTTTCATAACCACCTATGTGGTTTTAGTTATTATTCCTTAACTTTATGACCAATGGAATTGTTCTGATAAGTATAAATGGTGTGTGTGGGGGGGCAGTGTATTGCTGTGGCACTGATTAAGTTAATAGGTAAAAAACTGAACCTGTGCTCTTGGTCGAAGCAGCCCTGTATGCTCACTTATTCATATGGTCATATTATTCCTTATTTCACGTAGAAGTCCTACATCCTCCCTTTTCTCTTACATTCTCCCTTACTTTGAAAATTAATGTGAAATACTCATCTTCCCATTAAAAGTGAGGAGTTGAAATTATATGGGGGAAATGGTGGTGATTACATTGAAAGAAATTCCAATTTGAAATGAATTGCAAGGTTATTAGTATTACCCATTTCCCCCACCTATTCCACATAATGACCAGTTATCATCCAGTCTCAGATATTTTCATTTTATATGTCCGTAGGACACAAAAGCAATGAAATGTAAATTTGCTATGAATCTTTGCTAAAAAGCATAAGGATAGTTATGAATCATTGGGTTTAATCATGTGTCTTTGGATCTGGATCTCTTTTCCTATTACACCGATGACTTCCTAGAACACCCCATAGCCTTTATATAGAACTTTCAATAGTAAAAGACCAAAAAGTATGTACGTATAATCAGGTATTCCTTTCACACTATTGAAAGACAGATTTTCAGTGCTTTGCCTAAACAATTAGAGAAATGTGATTGAGATATTTCCCAGTCCTAGATGTTTCTGTCATGTGAGGACAGATCATCAAAGATGACTAAACGTCATCTTTTTACTGTTGTCTTTATGAGTTATGCATCTCCTGCACAGTATGATTCAGCAGTGCTGTTTTGCACAAGGTATGTTTTTATACCTTATGTGTAAACAAATGAGTATGCCATGTTGTCATTTTATGGGTTAAATCTGCAAATAAAATATGCCCCTCCAGCCATAAACTGCTTTCCTCCTTCATTATAGCTCCTGGTAATATCAAAAGAAATTAGTGTTTCTGCAGTATCTATATTTGATTGGTAAATACACCCCAGTGTGTTATCATTAACGGTGTTTTTAACTTGGTGTTAACAAATACGAATTGTAAGGGACTTGGTCAAAACATTACAGTAGCTATAATCCATGCCATTGAATATTCAATTAAAAGTAGAATCTTTATGTTGATGTTAAAATAATATACTAGCCAGGAAAGTCACTGGGGTCAATAATAATTACATATACATGTGTTGTTGGTAAGTGATTGAAACTCAAAAAGTTAGAGTGTGCAGTCCTAAATTTATTTTCTTCAGCTCTTGGTGATCTGGAATAGATATGCGTCTTTCTCTCTATTACTTCTACCTTGGGTTTCTAATTACTGCTTTAATTCTGGGGTTTGGAGTTTGGTACCAACATTAAGGATGCTTTATAATTTGCTGTATTAGTCTTAGTAAAGAACTTCCAAAGATACCGAAGTAGAACTGAGGTGGCACAAAGAACCCAATGAGAGGTCCAATATACATTTGGTGTATATTATGCTTCCTTGACTTTTCCATAAAATATGTTTGTATATTTTTTTAAACTTTGTATTTGAAGAAAGTAAATATTTGGGTTCTTCAGATGATGAAATGAAGATAGATTACAAATGATTAGGAAGGATAGGTTGGATGGAGGCAATTTCAAATATTTTTAGGCTTATTTTTTAAAACTCTTGTTAAGGTCAATTTATTTAGCATTTTTATATTGGAAAAGATACTTAGCATGGATGTAGCTAATGGGTTTTGCCCCCATATTTTGAAATTTTCCTCTACCCTTCAAGGGACTTCTGACTGGTCTAAGAATTAAAGTGACATGAGACAGATTAAGAGGAGAAAAATCAAACTTAATTAGGTACATATGGGGAATCCACATATATGTGAGAGATTCCAAAGACAAGCAAAATGAGCTATGCTTGTCATTCCGAACTAAGGAGAAGGGAGTAGAGGTCTAGGACTTTCAAGGAAAGGAAAGCAATTCATAGGAAGATGAAAAGGAATAAATGTTTGGTAAGCAAATGTTTTTTGGGCCATATAGAAACAATGGGACATAAGAATTTTAACAAACAGACTTTGCTAAATTCCTCCCTACCACCTCTTATTTATATTATACTGTAGTTATTTTTGGTGATATCTATCTCTGGGAGCAGGTCCTCTATCCAAATTCTTTTAGGCAGTTAGTGGGAGGTCGAAGTTTCTTCATGAGTCTTTTGGGCCTTGATTGTTTTCAGCTCAAAACAATTTACATCCCAAAGTGGCACATCTTGGGGTAATGGGTTCTGAACCCCAACAAGATAAAGAGAGACAACACCAAAGAGTTGCTGGACAGTGCCTCATAGAATTAAATACCACTTTCATTCTTTCATAGGTGGTTTACTGTGAGCTGGGCATTTTTTTACTTTAGGAGATAACAAACATTGAACAAAACCAATGGAAAATCTTCACCCACTTGCTGCTTAAATTTTAGTGAGATGAGGTCATGAATAAGTAAAATATGTTCTATGTCCAATGATTATTGGTGATCTGAATGAAGAAAAAGCAGAAAAAGGGTAGCTATGATGGGGGTCTTTGTGTGTGCTTTTATGCCAGTACCATACTGTTTTGATTACTATAGCTTTGTAATATAGTTTGAAATTAGGAAGTGTGATGCTTTAACCTTATTTTTAAGATTGCCTTGGCTATTTGGGGTCTTTTGTGGTTCCATACAAATTTTAGGTTTGTTTGTTCTATTTCTGTGAAAAATTACATTGGAATTTTTTTTTAAAGATTTTATTTATTTATTTATTTATTTATTTATTTATTTGAGAGAGAGAGAGAGAGTGCAAACAAGAGATAGCACAAGCAGGGTGAAGGTCAGAGGGAGAAGCAGACTCCCCGCCGAGCAGGGAGCCCAACACAGGACTGATCCTGGGACTCCGGGATCTTGACCTGAGCCGAAGGCAGATGCCCAACCGACTGAGTCACCCAGATGCCCCTGCATTGGAATTCTGATAGAGGTTGCACTGAATCTGTAGATTCCTTTGATCAGCATAGACATTTTAAAAATATTATTCCAATTTATAAGCATGGACTATCTTTCTATTTGTGTCTTCAGTTTCTTTCATCAGTGTCTTAAAGTTTTCAGTGTATATAGGTCTTTCACCTCCTTGTTTAAATTTATTTCTAGATATTGTATTCTTTTTTGATGCAGTTGTAAATGGGATTGTTTTCTCTCCAGTGGTATGATCGTAGCCTTTCTAAATTTCTCCTTTAAATAGTTCTTTTTGTCTTATATTTCTTCCACTTGTGGGGTGGCTGGATGGCTCAGTTGGTGAAGCCTCAGACTCTTGATTTTGGCTCAGATCATAATCTCAGGGTTGTGAGATCAAGCCACACTTTGGGCTCCAGGATGGGCATGGAGCCTGCTTAAGAGTTTCTCTCCCCCTCCTCCTCTTAAAAAAAAAAAAAAGTTAAATATCTTCCACTTGTTAACTAGTAGGGCTTCTTGGGACATTTCATGAATGCACTACAGAAGAATAAAACCTTTGTGTTTGCATGATTGACTTGCCCTCAAACACTGTTTGGTCTTCAAAGCTAAAGCTCATTTTGAAATTATTTATTCATGACTAAATAACTTACCAGTTCTCCAATAATAAACAAACTGGGGCATTTAACTCCTTGTTTACAAAAGGAAAGGAAATGAAGGGAACTTAACAAAATTTATAGGGTAAGGTATCTCACTTGGAAATAAGCATGGATAAAAGTTTTATGGAACAAGGCCTTTCAAAAATTTTATAAAACATATAGTTATAAATATGTAAAAATGAACATTAAAAGATTACTAATTTTGCTACATTTATGTCACTTGGGTTCCTTTCTTGTTTTGTTTTTTAAAAGCTTATTATAAATTCCCAGGTCAAAAGAAATTAGGAATTAGAAGTACAGAATAGAGGCAGCATTTGGATATTGGATGATCTTTCCTAGTATTTTCCTTCATGTCCTTCTTCATAGTTTCTGATGAAGAACAATCAGTAGTATATGTTCCAGGTATGATTTTCTGTATTACTTTCATAAGCTTCCTTTGCTTCTTAAGTGTTAGGAGAAAGTAAAAGAGTAAGGCCACTTTGCAGGTATAACTATATGCAGAACAATCCATTGGAAACTAATTAAAAAAAATGTGGTTAGACCTTACTAAGGCTTGAAATACTGCCTTATTTTAGGGGCTGGTCGGGCAAGTGAGCTTTTGATGCATTTGTAAAACACTTCATTCATCTATTAAAGAGCAAGAGATTCTTATTTTTTGTATTATGAATAATAGCCTAAATTCAAAGAAAAATGTGAAAACTTCTTGGTATAAGGTTTATGTGATAGACTCTTTAAAGCTTACTGGTTATTACTGAATGAGTAGTAAAACTGAGCCATTGAAGGTACCCTAATTATGTGGAAAAAATCAGATTTTAATTTCCCCTACATTAAGGTATATATTGTTTGTTGTAATTTATTGGTTTTAATATGACTTAACGAATTTTCATGTCACCTTTTAAAAATATTTCAATTGAATCTTAAATGTATTCAGAACATAATCTTTTCATGATACATTATTTACTAAGAGATTTAAAATGACCCTTTCAGGTCCCATAAAGAAGTATATCAGAGAAGAGCTTCATGGGGGGTGAGTTTAAGAGAATAAAGTATAATTTTGATGTTTTGTTTGATGGAAATCCTTAGGAATTTCTACAGAAGGAAATACCAAATCAAGACACAAGTTAAGTCCAAAAGCTGATGCTAAACTTAAGACTTCCAGGGTTACTGCCTCTTCAATCTCCATGGAGTCTTTAAAAGGTGCAGGGGATTCAGTAAATGAACAGGTCAGTAATTTCCCTTTTTTTTACCCCTTGTTCTCCAATCTTTATAAATGCGGACCAATAAGTGATTTTTCTATGCTGAGCCATTACCGATAAAAACGGGTAGAAGAGTCTTTGAAAGAAGTTAGATAATCTACAATCTTAAAAGGTACAGAAGAGGGGCGCCTGGATGGCTCAGTCATTGGGCGTCTTCTGCCTTTGGCTCAGGTCATGATCCCAGGGTCCTCGGATCGAGCCCCGCATTGGGCTCCCTGCTCAGCGGGAAGCCTGCTTCTCCCTCTCCCACTGCCCCTGCTTGTGTTCCCTCTCTCACTTGTCTCTCTCTCTCAAATAAATAAAACCTTAAAAAAAATAAAAGGTACAGAGGATTCTAGGATGCTTTACATGGTATGAATATATGAAGTATTTAGAATACTCAGAGGTTTTGCTCTAAAATGTCTAGGCTTGCCTTAAGCCTTAGTTAAGAAAAATTTATTACCTTAGTATGTCTCAAAAGACCTACATCCTGATCCATGTGAAGTTAGTAAATTAAATTGACCACCATTTTTTCTTTTCTTAAGTGTGCTTTATGATTTTTGTTCTTGTGAATTTGTTAGATGATGTTGGATAAACCTCTCTATATAAGAAAGAAACTTCGTTAAAATTCCCCTGCATTATTATTATTATTTCCTTCACTTTAAAAATATTATAAAAACTCTTTATAGCCCAGTCATTGATTTCTCCTTCATCTTTGCCTTTGTATTAGTATCTGTACATTCCTTTGCTACATGTCCTTATCTGATAGGTTTATTTTACTTTACTTTTTCTTAAGGTTAAGTCAGGGTTTGGCAATCTATGACCTATAGGCCCAATTTCCTTGCTGCCTGTTTTTGTGAATAAAGTTTTATTGGAACATAGCATGCTTATTCTCTTAATATTATTGCTGCTTTTCTATTCTAATGGTAGAGTTGCTACCATAGTGCTGTTGGTCCAGAAAGCCAAAGTATTTACTATTGAACCCTTTATAGAAAATTTTTTTCAGTGCTGGTTTATGTTCTTGAGGACATTTCCAATATCTAGTTTGTTACTAATTATTATGTTTAGTAGTCCATGGGATTTAACTGTGACTTGCCCAAAAGGGCTACTTTGTTACTTGGATCTCTGTTGTACCCACTTTACACTGGGACGTGAATAGTAGTTGAATTTGCAAGATCTTATCAAAATTGCAAGTGTTTTTTCATAAAATGGTTTGTGCATTTAATATTGAACAATGGCCTTCTTTTGGATGAAGTCCATATTTTTTTATGATTCTATTGGCTTATTAACTATAACTCTTTGTTGGGCTATTTCACTGGCTTTGGGAATTATAGTATACGTCTTTATCACAGCCTATTTTAAGTTATGTTTTCCACTTTACCTATTATTTTGAGGACCTTTCAACAGTCTGTGTCTTGACTTCCGTGATACTGTCATACATTTTACTTCTATAAGTAAACTCCCAATACATTATTGCTTTTGCTTTAATACTGTCCTTTTTTTTCAGATTTGCCTATAATTCACATATCATAAAACTTACCCTTTTAAAATGTACAATTATTATTATTTTTCTGTATATTCTCAGAGTTGTGGATCCATCACCACAATCTAATTCCAGAACATTTTCATCACCCCAGAAAGAAACTCCATATGCATTAGCAGTCACTTCCCATTTTCTATTCATCTCAGCCCCTAGCAGCCACTAATCTACTTTAATCTCTTTAGATTGGTCTATTCTGGGCATTTCATGTAAATGGAATCCTATATTATGTGGCCTTTTGTGGCTGGCTTCTTTCACTTAGCACAATGATTTCAAGGTTTATCTATGTGGTATCATGTATTATTACTTCATTACTTTTTATGGCTGAATATATATTTATCCTTTCACCAGTTGAAGGACTTTGGGTTGTTAGGCTTTTTGGCTATATGAATAATGTTGCTATGAACGTTCACGTACAAGTTTTTGTGTGGATATATGTTTTCAGTTCTGTTGGTATTTGCCTAACAGTAGAATTGCTGGGTCATGTAAATAATTCTGTTTAACTTTTGATGAACTGCCAAAATGGCTATACCAATTTACATATTACCAGCAATATATGAATGAGGATTCCAGTTTCTCCACATTCTCGCCATCACTTTATAGCTATCCTTTTTATTATAACCATCCTAGTCAGTATGAAGTGGTATCTCATTGTGGTTTTGATTTGTATTTCCCTAGTGACTAATGATAATCATTTCTTTATGTGCTTCTTGGCCATTTATATATGTATTTTATTTTATTTCAATTTTTTAAAGATTTTATTTATTTATTTGACAGAGAGAGACAAGCGAGAGAGAGAACACAAGCAGGGGGAGAGGGAGAGGGAGAAGCAGGTTCCCTGCTGAGCAGGGAGCCCAATGCGGGGCTCGATCCCAGGACCCTGGGATCATGACCTGAGCCGAAGGCAGATGCTTAATGACTGAGCCACCCAGGTGCCCCTACATATGTTCTTTAGAGAAATGTCCATTCAGATCCTTTTCAATTGGGTTATTTGTCTTCTTACTAATGAAGTTAAAAGAGTTCTTTATACCCATGTTCAAGTCCCTTATAAGATATATGATCTACAAACAGTTTCTCTCATTCTGTGCATTGTCTTTCACTTTCTTAATGGTGTCCTTTGAAGGATGAATGTTTTTGAAGTCCACTTTATCAATTTTTTTCAGTTGTTACCTCTGCTTTGCTGTCATATCTAAAAAATCATTGCCTAATTCAAGTTCTTGAAGATTTACACCAATATTTTCTTCTAAGAGTTTTATAGTTTTAGGTATTACATTTAGTCTTTGATCCATTTTGATTTAATTTTTGTATGTAGTGACCCAAATTCATTCTGTTGCATGTGGATATCTACTTGTCCCAGCATCATTTGTTAAGACTATTCCTTTCCCTTTGATTGTTCTGGCACCCTTGTTGAAAATCCCTTAACCATGTAAATGTAAGTGTTTATTTGTGGACTCTCAATTCTATTCCATTGATTAACATTTCTATTTTTATGCCATTACCAAGCTAATTACCATTTGGAATTATTTTTTGGAATCAGGAAATGTTAAGTTCTCCAAGTTTGATTTTCTTTTTTAAGATTTTGGCTATTCTGCATCCCTTGAATTTCCATAGAGACTGTAGAATCACCTTGGCAATTTCTGTACAAGGGTCAGCCTGAATTTTGATAGCAATTGCAGTAAATCTTCAGATAAATTTGGAGGGTACTCTCAATAATATCAGTTCTTCCAGTCCTTGAATATAGTGTATGAGATAGCTTTTCATTTACATAGGTCTTCTTTAATTTCTTTCAGCGATGTTTTGAAGTTTTAGGTGTATGTGTCTTGTGCTCTTTTTGTTCAGTTTATTTCTAAAGATTAGGTATTTTATACTTTTTGATGCTATTATTAATGGAATTGTTTTCTTAATTTTATTTTTGAGTTATTTGTTGCTCGTGTATGGAAATACAGTTGATTTTGTCTATTAGTTTTGTATCCTGGAACCTTTCTAAATTCACTTACTAATTTGAATTTTCTTTCTTTCTTCCTTCCTTCCTTCCTTTCTTTTTAAAAATATTTTATGTATTTATTTGAGAGGGACAGAGATAGTGAGAGAGGGCATAAGTGGAAAGGAGGGGGAGAAGCAGACTCCCTGCTGAGCAGGGAGCCTGATGCGGGGCTCAGTCCCAAGACCCTGGGATCATCACCTGAGCCGAAGGCAGAAGCTTAACTGACTGAACCACCCAGGCGCCCCTGGTGAATTTCTTACAATTTTTTATATATATGATTATGCCATCTGTGAATATAGTATTACATCTCCCTTTCCAATCTGGATTCCTTTTATTTCAATTGTGTTTTAAAAAGGTTCAAATAATTAAACAGAAGGTTTTTATTTTTATGTTTTATTTTTTTTAAAGATTTATTTATTTTAGAGAGAAAGAGCATGAGTGGGAGAGGGAGAACGAATCTTAAGCCAACTCTGCGCTGAGTGTGGAGCCTGATGTGGGACTCGATCTCATGACTCTGAGATCACGACCTGAGCCGAAACCAAGAGTCGGTACATAGGTGCCCCTCCACAAAAGGCTTTTAAATTTACCTGTGTAGTTACCATTTCTGTTGTTCTCTGTTTGATATTATTGGTATGCTCCATCTGCTTAAAGTACTTCCTTTAACATTATGATAGTTCAGGTGCACTGGGAATGGATATTTTGGCTTTTGTATGCCTGAAGAAGTATTTGTTTCACTTTCATTTTTACTGGTTACAGAATTTTGAGTTGATAGTTTTTTTTTCCTTTAGTACTTTAATGATGTCATTGCACTGTTGCTTGGTTTCACTGTTTTTGAGAAGTCTGCTGTCATTCTTACTTTTATTCTTTTGTATTTAGTATGTGAGTTTAAACTACTTTTGGGATTTTCTTTTTATTCCTAGTTTCAAGCAATTTGATTATAGTGTGCCTTGAACTAATTTTCTAAATGTGTCTTTTGGTTGGGGTTTGTTAAGTCTTTTGGATTTGAGAGTTTATAGTTTTCATAAAATTGAGAAAATTTTTGGCCATTATGTGTTGAGATATTAATATTTTTCGAGGACTCCAGTTATGCAAATATTAGGCCACTTGAGGTTACTCCACAGCTTTTTCATTTTTTTATCCAGTTTTTTGTTGTTGTTGTTGTTTTCTGTGTTTATCTGTAGATGGTTTATATTGCTTTGTCTCAATTCATTAATCATCTTCTGCCACTAATCTCATTCAGTGTATTTTTTATATAAGACAATGTTTTTATCTCTACAAGTTCAATTTGGGTCTTTTGTTTTTATTTATATATTTCATGTCTCTGCTTAACATGCTGGGTCTTCTAGTTTCTTGAACATATGGAATATAAATGGCTATTTTAATGTTCTTGTTTATAATTCTATCATCTGAGTTATTTATGGAGAGATTTCAAATGAGGAATTTTTCTATTTATGTATTGTACTT